TAGTATATAATATATTTTAATTATATTATAATATTGAAGGGTAATTATGAAAAAAAAAAACTTAAAATGATTATTCTTCTTATATGAGGAATGAATGATAATTCACTTAAAATAAGTAAATGACCATTCATTTTAAATAATCATTCATTTCTTATAAATCTAACCATACATCAAATTAAAATTACATTTTATTTTATTTCATTCATTTCCCTCAAACCAAACACACCATCAAAGTTCATAACTTTAGGGGCATAGGTGTGAGAATTTGGCTAAAATAACAGAGTAAAAAAGTAAAATTAGGAAAATGACTTTTTAATTTTAATTGCCCAAACAATTCAAGATTCCGCATTAAAAAAATCCTCTCAGGTCTTCTCTACGTGTTCAAAAAACTCTCTTCCTCACTTGTCACGAGGGAGCCATCACCGACAACAAAACTCCAAAACCCATTTCACCAGCTGTCCCCACTTACCCTCTCGACACCCCACAATGCTCTTCAACACCTCCGTCACATCCAAATCCCCAAAAGGCCGAGACCCACCTCGAGAATCACGCCGAGAATGGCCCTGGCGACAACGCCGGCGAGGTTCGGGTTCAAAAACTTGATGGAGACGAGCATGGTGAACATTCAGAGGGCGGAGAGTAGGGTTCTGAACGTGCCGTTAATCGCGCCGTTCACGATCGCGACGTCGAGGCTCGAGAAGGTCGAGAACGTGGCAGTTCGGATCGAGCTGAGTAATGGATTTGTGGGATGGGGTGAAGTTTCGATTTTTTTTTCGTTTTTCTTTCTTCTCATAAAGTCATTTTGTAAATAAAAATTTTTAAATTATCATTTTATAAATAAAACTTTTTTATTAGATTATTTTTATAAAGGTCTGGTTTCTATTAGATTATTTTTGCAAAGGCCTGCCAGGCATATGTGTAGATAATCCAATTATTATTATGGCCCTTCTCTCTGTTTGATTTTTAACGTCATTTCTTCTCCAAGTGAACTCTAATAGTACGGCTTCCAAACTCCAAAGCCGCGTCTCCTTCCTCACCACCCCCCACTTCAGACATACTTCAGATCTCACTCTCTCTCCTCGTTTTCTCTCTTCTGCAAATCGATCTTCGGATCCAATCCAATCTCTGGATCCATTTCCATGGCGTCGCCGAGCAATCCCAATCCAAATCTAAATCCAAATCTAAATCCGAATCAGCAGCCCTCCTTCGACGTCCAGAAATTCTTCACCGCTCCTCCTCCGCCATCTCCGACGATCTCCCACCTCCAAAACCCTAACAATCCACCGCCGTCGTTTCCGATTCCTCCGTCGTCGTATCCGCCTCCCTCCTCCGCCTTCTCCTACCCTCCCCAAACGTCGCCGTTTCACCACCAACAGTTCCACCACCACCAGTTTCCCCAAACGCCGCCGTTTCACCCCCATCATCTCCCCCAAACGCCGCCGTTTCATCACCCTCACCAGCTCCCTTCCAACCTGCACCAGCAGCAGCGTTCCCTTTCTTATCCTACGCCCCCTCTCAACCCTAACCCTCCTCCCCCTACCTCCTCCTCCTCCGGTGGGGCCCGAATCATGGCCCTTCTCGGCGCCCAGACACCAGTCGAATTGCCTTCTCCACCGCCTCCTGCGCAGCCCTCGCCGTCCTCCTCCGCCAATTCCAATCCCGAATTCTCGGCCGCGGCGGTGGTGCCCTCGGGGGTTCCGAGTCGGATGCCGAGCGGTAAGCTGCCGAAGGGGCGGCATTTGGGGGGCGATCACGTCGTCTACGACGTCGACGTGAGGCTGCAAGGGGAGGTTCAGCCTCAGCTTGAAGTTACTCCCATCACCAAGTATGGCTCCGATCCTCAATTGGTGTTGGGCCGCCAAATTGCGGTCAACCGGTCCTACATTTGCTATGGCTTGAAGCAGGGCAACATTCGGGTTCTTAATATCCACACCGCCTTGAGATCTTTGTTCAGAGCCCACACTCAGGTTTTCGATTTTGCTCCATTTCTTGCTAGTGCTGATTTGCTGTACTATGTCCTTCTAGGTACTTAGTGTTTGTGTAAACTTTGAATTTTGTGAAAATGATAGCTTCAAAGTTAAGGGTACTAAATGCACATTCCAAATAGCTTAATAAAGTGTTTTAGCCTTGTTTCTTTAGCAATTTGCTAATTTTTGGTATGTTGGTATACTTCCTAGTTGAAATAATTGCACTAAGCTCTTCCGGGTACTTAGTGTTTGCGTAAAGAAATTCAACTAAAGTTGAATATAGTCTTTAAGTAATGACAAAGGAAAGCGGGGAGGATTTTGGATAATAATAGTCCTTAAGTAAGTTGCATTCCTAATTAAAGAACCTGATGGTTCAATGCTGGGTTCTTCTAAGGTCTTTAACTTTATAGTCAGACTGATTTAGCGTATAGGATTTGAAAAAGTCAAAAAACTGAATATGTTCTTCTGGGTACTAAGCGTTTGTGTAGAATTTGAACTTTGAATGAGTTACAAAGGAATGGGGAAAAGATTTGATTGTACTATTGTAAATGCAAAAGTAAGATTCGCTTGTTTTAGACAAAGAAGAAATAACCTATATGATTTGATCCACTACATGTTACTGTTTACGTTGCTTTAGTTAGGTCCTGCTAAAGTCTTTTACTTTACTCTAGACTGATTTAGTATATGGATTGCGTTTCTTATTTTAGTTTAGGGGTACAATTCCTATTTGAAAAACTGCACACAACTTCTTCTGGCTAAGTGTTTGTGTAAAACGTGAACTTTGAATTATAGTTACAAAGGAATGGGAGAGAAGATTTGCTTTGACTCTAACAAATCCATAAGTAAGTTACGTCTCCCTAAGCACAGAACCTAGATGATTGGATATAGTAAATGTCAGTAGGGTGCTCGGTAATCAATATGGAGGTAGCAAGCTTCATACTCTGGCCAATCTAGTAGGATGCTCGGTAGGCAGTTGGCCTATTAAAAACTATTTGGGCCTCCCCTTGGGAGGCAATCCCTTAGAAAGGATTTTGGGACCCAGTGGTATCAAAGGTGAAGAAAAGGTTCGACTGGAGGGAAATCTTACTTGTCAAGAGGAGGGAGGTTATCACTTATTCAATCTGTTTTGTCGTCACTACCAATTTACTATGTCTCTTTTTAAATTGCTGAGTAGTGAGGCAGAGGATATGGAGAAGTTGATGGGGGATTTTTTATAAGTTGATGCAGGAGGTGCTGATCATCTTGTTGAGTTTGTTTTCAACAAGAGGGGTTAGAAGATTTGGAATATCTGCTATTTTGGGTTTGTATTGGGCATTATAATTAGAGAGGAATAAGATGATTTTTGAAGATTTGGAAGGAAGTATTGACAAAATATGGGGCAAGTGAAATTCTGGGTTGCAATTTGTTCCATGAAAATAAAGACTTTAGTCATTTGCAGCTTTCAGATTTGGTTAGATAGTTTATTTTATTTCTGACAATTGTTATCTCAGTTTTTCCATTTTTATGACCTTTTTATTTAGCTGGACTTCCTTTCCTCCTTGCTTTGTACTTCATTGTTCCTTCTGTCTTGATGAAGTGTTGTTCCTCTTTGAAAAAAAAAAAAAGAAAAAAGTCTTATGATTTGATGGTTTTCTTATTTGCTATCATAATTGTTATCTTATTTGGTATCCACTAGATGGGAATACGGGATCGCAGTAAATGGATTAATATACATGGATTGTTATATCGTTTTGCTAATTTATGTAACGTTTTCTTCTGTCAGAGGGTCACAGACATGGCTTTTTTTGCTGAGGATGTTCACCTTTTGGCTAGGTAGTTCTATGATCTCAATATCAATTTTTTTCCCCTGTTTTCTTGTATGGTCATTGATGTGCTTCTTTGCAGTGTGAGCGTAGAAGGACGGCTTTATGTTTGGAAAATTTCTGAGGGTCCTGATGAAGAAGGTACACCACAGATCACAGGGAAGATTGTGATTGCCATTCAAATTGTAGGAGAGGGGGAAGCTTCTCATCCAAGAATTTGTTGGCACTGCCACAAACAAGTAATTCTTATTTATAACTAATTTTCATTTCTATCTTTTAATTCTTTTTTTTTATTTTTTTTATCATTGGCTTTGCAATTGTCCAAACAAACTGTGCACTATAATTGGTCTGAACACTTTTACGCAGGAAGTGCTGGTAGTTGGATTTGGAAAACGTGTTCAAAGATTTGATACTACAAAAGTTGGAAAGGGGGAAGTATTTTCAGCTGAAGAACCTCTTAAATGTCCTGTTGATAAGCTGATTGATGGTGTCCAATTTATTGGTAAACATGATGGCGAAGTAACTGATTTATCAATGTGCCAATGGATGGCCACAAGATTGGTTTCTGCTTCAATAGACGGCACGGTCTGTATTCTCATTACTTTGGTGTTTGATACTTCAATCGGTTTCTCTATGCCTTACTTATATATTCTCTTCTAGTGGTGATTATGAAACTGAAATTGTGTCTCACTTGTTATTATGCATGAATTTCATATTAAACTTACCAACTTCCATTAAGGTAATATATATGTATTTGATACTTGGTCTTTAGAGATAAAAAATATTTGGGCTGATGCTCACATCAAATTTATGTTTTGATGCAGATAAAAATCTGGGAAGATAGGAAGGCCCAACCACTTGCAGTCTTGAGACCCCATGATGGCCAGCCTGTTAATGCAGCTACATTCTTAACTGCTCCCCACAGGCCAGATCACATCATACTCATCACAGCTGTATGCTTGCGAAGTTTTTCTTTGGTTGAATAATATTCTAATATTACTTATGGTAGCTTACTATTAATTAGATTTAAAAGTTAGTTTTTAACCTGTTTAAATTGATTTCACAAAACTTGATACAGGGGCCATTGAACCGAGAAGTGAAGATTTGGGCCTCAGCCAGTGAAGAAGGCTGGTTGCTGCCTAGTGATGCTGAATCATGGAAATGTACCCAGACATTAGAATTGAAGAGTTCGGCCAAACCTCGAGTTGAGGAGGCATTCTTTAATCAAGTTGTAGCGTTGCCACAAGCAGGCCTGCTCTTACTTGCAAATGCTAAGAAGAATGCTATATATGCTGTTCATCTAGAATATGGTCCTAATCCAGTGTCCACACGCATGGATTACATAGCAGAATTTACTGTGACTATGCCTATTTTGAGTTTTACTGGGACAAGTATATCACCTCACGGTGAACATATTCTTCAGGTTTATTGTGTTCAGACACAGGCTATTCAACAGTATGCTTTGGATTTATCTCAGTGCTTGCCTCCACCATTAGAGAACTCGGGATTAGATAGGTCTGAGTCCAATCTTTCACATGACGGAATCGCTATTGAAGGATTTTCTGCTTTGGATACAGCTGGAAGTAAACCTCCTGATATCTCAACAGTTGCGTCTGCACTGAAACCAACTGTACAAGTAGGTAGTACAGAAGCTGTCACGAGGTATCCTGTTAGCTCGAACCCTATTGAGGTGACTACTTCAAAAGATGTTACCACTCAGAGTATAGAGTCCAAAGCTGCTGCTTTGACACCAATGGCTAGTTATGCTGACATTGTTCGTGTTCCATCGACACCGCCTCTTCCTTTGAGCCCCAAGTTGTCTGGGAAACCTTCTGGTTTAAGAACACCCACAGATAACTTTGAATTGGGATCCACGTTCAATGATCACACTGGAGAACAGGCAGTTAATGATTATTCAGTTGACCGGCAAATGGATGCTGCTCATGTGAACTTGCCTGATGTGCTCTCGGTGGATGAGGATTTGAGGAATGATGAGAAGAAAGTTGCACAAGATGATTACTCTAGTGTGATTAGTCCCCCCGTCATGTTCAAACACCCAACTCATCTGATAACCCCCTCTGAGATCTTAATGGCTGCTTCATCCTCGGAAAGCACTAAATCTGTTGAGGGTAAGGGTGGAAGTGAGGCAAGCATCCAGGATGTGCTTGCGAATGGCGATGCGGAGAATGCTGAGTTGGAAGTTAAAGTTGTGGGTGAAACAAGATCTCCAAATGATGATTTTGGAGCTCAGGAAGAGTCTCAAACTATTGTTTCAGAGAACAGAGAAAAATATTTTTACTCCCAGGCGTCAGATCTTGGTACTGAGATGGCCCAAGAATGCTGTGCAATATCTGCTGATACTTACATTACGGATGAAGCTCGGCAAGTTGATGGTGCCAGCAGTAAGCAACACGCCCAACCTTCTCCTGCCGGTGAGGAAGACCAAGATTCTACAAAAGATGTATCTGCAAGGATATCAGAATCGTCTACACCCACAGCAGTTACAACCGTACAGACTCCAAATACTAAAGCGAAAAAGAAGGGAAAAAGCTCTCAAGCATCTGGTGCATCTTCCCTATCATTTAGTGTTCTCAATTCCATAGATACCAACCATGAGCCAGCTGGGAGCTCAAGTCTGGAAGCTGCGTTTCCTCAAATTGTGGCTATGCAGGAAGCCCTTAGTCAGGTGATTATTTAAGCTTATTGGGATAGAGGTGTTGCTTATTGGCATTGTCATGGTTATGCTTCTTGAAAACATACAGTTAAATTGTTTCTAGACTCGTGGATCATTTTTCGTTGGGGTAGATTTTCATGTTTTTAGCAAAGTTTATTTGGTCTCTTTTCTGATTTTAGAGTTGGAATCTTATAAATTTTGTTCATATTTATCTTATGGAACAAGAACTCCTGTTAAATTTGAATAAATTGTCATCAGCCTGGTATAAATTTTGTCTTTCTAGCTGATATCTTTTGATGGGTCCTATGAAGTGACTGTTTTCTCTGCAATTCATTACTACAATGATTATTTTTTCTTAATCCTACAAATATTTCATATCCCTATTTTTGGGAAATTTAATAAAGTGTGTTTTCTGTTCTGTATTTTATCTCACGCAGATTTACATCGTACCTTTTCTTTCACCCCTTCTATATACTGTTTCCTAACATTGGCTCTATTATTTTGTGCAGCTAATGTCCATGCAAAAAGAAATGCAGAAGCAGATGTCGATGGTGGTTGCTGTCCCACTCACAAAGGAAGGAAAAAGACTGGAGGCGGCTCTTGGGCGAAGCATGGAGAAGGCTGTTAAGGCCAACAATGATGCTTTATGGGCTCGTTTTCAAGAAGAGAATGCGAAAAATGAGAAGCAATTTCGAGACCGTACACAGCAAATTACTACTTTGATTAATAACGTTATGACCAAGGACTTGCCAACCATCCTAGAGAAGACACTGAAGAAGGAATTGGCAGCAGTTGGACCAGCCGTAGTTCGTACAATTACTCCAGTTATTGAGAAAACAATATCTTCGGTCATTGCAGATTCCTTCCAGGTGAGAATTATGAAGATTTTAATCTTCTATAAGAAAGTTATTTATACTAGGTTCTAATTTGATGCTTGTTCCCCAGAGAGGGGTGGGTGACAAGGCTGTGAATCAATTAGAGAAATCAGTAAATTCAAGACTTGAAGCTACAGTTGCCAGACAGATCCAAGCACAGTTTCAAACTACTGGTAAACAAGCTCTTCAGGTATGTATTAGCACACCTTGATTCGGTTTCCTTGAGCTTAAGATGTTTATTTATGTGTATTAATTTTTACTTGACTGATATGTAGAATAGAAGAACCATGATAGTCGAGAATCTCCTCTCTAATTAAAATGAAAACTTCTTCTTTTGCGTAGGATGCTCTAAAGTCTAGTTTTGAAGCCTACGCGATGCCCGCCTTGGAGATGTCATGCAAAGCCATGTTTGAACAAGTAGATGCGGCGTTCCAAAAGGGAATTGCTGAACATACTAATGCAACTCAGCAGCACTTTGAGACCGCAAATTCTCCATTGGCACTGACATTAAGGGTATGTATTTGCCAGTACATGTTTTTTTGCCTCGTTTCTTACAAAGTTCTTGGTGTTTGTTTATCCAGCTGTGTGAGTATAATTAGCTAGCTTTCTTATTTACCTGTCAAGCGGGGTTTCAAGTTCTTCAATTAGTGAAATAGTTTATCTTGAATTTATTCCTTTGGTATCATTTTCAGGAAGCTATTAATGCGGCATCATCTGTCACTCAAACACTAAGTGGAGAGCTGGCCGATGGTCAACGGAAGCTGATAGCTTTTGCAGCTGCGGGAGCAAACACAGGGGGAGTTAATCCCCTGGTTACCCAGCTAAGCAATGGTCCTTTAGGTGGTCTCCATGAGAAGGTTTGGCCTCTTCTTAAATCACCATTGGATTTTTTGCAAGAAATATGGGCACTTATAAATAAGCATCATTATTCATGAAAGGTTGAGGCACCTTTGGATCCAACGAAGGAGTTGTCACGGTTAATATCGGAGCGCAAGTACGAGGAGGCCTTTACTGGAGCTCTTCAAAGAAGTGACGTGAACATAGTATCGTGGTTGTGTTCTCAGGTACACTTTTCATATGACATGCACACAGCATCAACATGAATCACATTTTCTGAGTGTTTTTGCTGAAACAAACCTCATTTGGCAGGTTGATTTGCGGGGAATCTTGTCGATGGTTCCTCTGCCCTTGAGCCAAGGCGTGCTGCTTTCCCTGTTGCAACAGTTGGCCTGTGATATCAACAAGGAAGCATCCCGAAAGCTGGGGTGGATGACAGATGTTGCAGCCGCCATAAACCCGGCTGATCCCATGATCTCCTTGCATGTCAGGCCAATCTTCGAGCAAGTCTACCAAATATTGCACCATCAACGCAGCTTGCCAACGATGACGGGTCCTGAACTCACCAGTATCAGACTCCTCATGCTTGTCATCAACTCCATGCTAATGGCCTGTAAATGAGAAGTGCTTTTTTTGTTTTGTTTTTTTTTTTTGTTTTTGTGTGTTTTAGAAGTGAAGTACCACATATTTTCCTCTTAGCCTGTTCTGTACAAAATTGTACAAGTCATCCCCAAGTCAAAGAAGAGTCTCAAAGTGTAGAGTCAGACGATCTGTTGATTATCTTTTGTATCTGTTAAAATAGGCCATTAGGCATTTTTGGTTTTTTTTTTTTCGCCCTTAATTGATTGTTATTAGTTTTTGTTGCCAAGATTGTGAACCCTCTTGCAATTCTCTGTTTCTGCTCCTGATTTTGGGCTTCTTTTCTTCCTTTTTTTTTTCCCCCCTGACCTTCCAATTGGACGGATTGATGTCGGATCAAAGTTTTGTTATCCCTCACAAGAAAATATTGGCCTTATTCCCTTTTCTATTCTCTCTTCTAAAGTGCAATCGTTGTTCATTTGTTTACGGGAATTTTTGTTCTTTTTTTTTTGGTTTAGAATTAGTAAGTTTATGTTAAATTGTTATGAGAATTTCATAGTAAGAAAAAATACTCTACGGTAGTGCGTATTTTGTTTCGAATGTTGGATCGATAGTGTACTCAATCCATATCATATTTTGTTAGTTTTGTATATCTTTCATTTTTTTTTTATTTGATGTGATTTTGAATAGATTTGTTACTTTGTATCAACGTTGTTTGAGAAAAGCTAATTGGGTTTTGTTTAAGTGAACATTGCAATTTTGAATTTGGTTGGTTGGGAATCTTGGGATATAAAAAATAAGGAGGAACAAAGAGGATTGAGAACCAACATGCCACCAACAATATGAGTCACCCACCAATCTTTCACAAAAAGAAAAAGAAACCCAAAACAAACTAAATTTAAATAATTAAAAAAAAACCCCTCTTAAACTTTGGCCACTGATAAAAAGATTAGTCATTTTAATTAGAGCAATTAGGCAACAGTTTACTCTTGTACTACTCTTAGGCTCAGAGGAAAAAACAAAAAACAAAAAAAAAAAACAGTAGAAAAAAAAAAAAAAGCACAAGAACAAGATGATGAAGAAGAAGATGATACTGAAATCAGAATTTATACAGGTTTTTCTCTCTTACATTGCCATTACAGAAAATGACATCCTTTTTCTTTTTTTTTTTTGGTTTTACAAAGTTAGCTAAATTATATCTTCTCCTCCACTATAGTCAACAATTCTAAGAAACAAAAAGATCGAAACTTGGGGCATATTACTACCAGCACTGGTCCGTTTCCCATCTCCGGGTCGGGCAAAACCCTAACCCTAACCCCCCCGACGAAAAAGAGTAAGAATAAGCAGAAGGAGAGTACTGAGGTCCCAAGGAGAGATCATATTTGGCCCTAGCAGCGGGATCGGAGAGCGTTGCGTAGGCGTTGTGAATGGCGATGAAATCGAGGCCGTCGTCGAACTCCGATTCGGAGCAGGACGAGGTGTCGGGATGGTAGACCTTCGCGAGGTTTCTGTAGGCCGTCTTTATCTCCGTCTGCGATGCGTTTCTCTTCACTCTCAGAACCTCGTAAAGGCTATTGCTGTTGCTCTTGCTGCCGGCGGTTCTTCTCCTCGGCGGCGCCTCCGTCGCCGTGAAGGCCTTGACGGTGGGCGACGGGAGTCTGACGGTGGGCGACGGGAATCTGACGGAGGTCGGGGAGGGAGATCTCGGCGAGAGAAGGGGAGGCTCCGGCGAGATGAAGAGGTTGGGGAGATTTAGGGTTCGAGACATTGTTGGATTTGGAGATGAAGTTTGGGGAAAAAAAGAAGAAGAAGAAGAAGTCTTTTTGTCTTTGGTTGTTTGTTTGGAATTAGAAGGTATTTGTGAGTAAATTGGAAATGGGACTCTTTCTATATATGTATATTTATAGAGAGAGATAGAGGAAGAGAGAGGAGTGAGAAAGGGCCTGATTGGAGGGCACGAAAATCAACACGGAGGAGAAACTGAAGAAAAACTGCCTGTTGTTGCTTGTTTTTTGTTTAATTTAGGGGCAGGTTTTCTTTTCGGTGGGTGCTGATGTGGCACTCTTATTTCTTTATTTCTTTTTTCTTTTTATTTGGATTCCTTTACAACACTTTTGTTTCTAGAACATCTTTTTCTCTCTGTCTCCTTGGTGGCTTTTTTTTTTCTTTTTTTTTTTTTTTTTTTTTTTTGATGATTAAAAAAAAATTTAATAATTTATTTTTTTAAGACTTATCTAAAAACTTTTTTTTTTAGATTTTTGGTTTTAGAATAATATAGGTCTCATTCATTTCACCAATTTAAATTTATAATTTGAGTTTTGTTATAGTAAAAAGTATTAAAAAATAGTCACATTTAACTTTTTTACTACAGTAAAAAACTCTCACATAAAATTATATCTCCACTCAAATTAAAAATTTAAATCAATAAACTAAACGGATCCATAATATTCATAAAAATTTTATTTTAAATTATTAAATTTATATTAAAAATTATCTATTATGTATATTTTTTAATTTGATTTTAAGTAAAACTAACGGTCGAAAATTACTTATAAGAGGCTCCACCGTAAAAGTATCATTTTTTTTTAGATTTCATTGATTTTGAACGTTAATTTATTAAAATCAAAATTATCTTAAACCCTAAAAAGTACTAGAAGTGAAGAATTTAACACGGTTCAACATAGACTTTTGTTGACATTTCTATATCCCCACCGTAATTTCGTCTTTTTCTTTGGAGTTTTTTACTATATGTGTATTTATTATTGCTATGTGTTTGTGAGACCAATGATAAAATAAGTATACAAAACAGAAAAAAGTTGATAAGATCAATCTAAAATATTCAGTACGTCTTCATTTTATGTTGTTATATTTGTATAAAAAATTATCTATTTCACATATTTTTTATTTTTAATATGATTTTCATCAGACTTAATAAACATAGATTTACAAGTATTTTTTTTTTATTTTGCTCATAACAAATAATATATTGTTTTATGATCTATTGCATATTTTATTTCGTTTTTAATCTCTTCTTCTAGAAGATGTTTGTATTGTCTCTCTCCCTTTCTCAATTATATACCTTTTTTGTCCTTTATTTTCCTTTTCCATGAATCTTTGCTTTTTATTATTTTATATCTTTTACTTTTATTTTGTAGGAGGTCGAGAGTGTAAGAGTCAAATGGTGATAATAGAATATGAGGCGGCTCTTGTTCAAGAGTATATCGTATGGAAAATTCCAGAATAGGAAATATTTGCTAATATGAAACTGATTAAGATATAAGTTATGTAAAATTATGAAATTTAACATGGTATGGTAAAAACCAGAGTTTTTTTTTTCTTTTTTTTTTAGCATATCCTATCAAAAATTTTTGCTATGCCTTTGTCACATAACTATATTGTGTTTTAATAAAAGTTCCTAATGAGAAGAGTTTCAAGTTAATGAGGTGCTCATTTTGAGGTATTATAGCAACATATTTGTTAGGTTAATTTTTATCTTTTATATCAACATCACAGGTATGTTCATGTAAAACTCAACTTCTTTTTTTTATAAGAGGAGAACTCTTGCTGTGGGACATTTGCATTGTTATTATGCACTTCTAAACATTATAGCTACAATAACATTAAGCGTGCGTTTAATTGGTAAATTCGTTACAGTATTTTCTCTCACAATAAATACACGTAAATCGATAATAATTTTAATTATGAGTTTGAATTTATAAACCAAACGTCCACTAAATAAACTAGTGTCAATTCTGAATCACAATATCATCACATCATATCATATTAGAATTAGAGAAGCGAATGTAACATATATCAGTAAAAATCTAATCGTTTAGATCTATATTGATACATCGTCTTATCATCAGATCATATTATATTATAACTAAAAAAGCGAGTGCAACATATTTTGGTGAAAATTCAATAGAAAATCCAATAGTTTAGATCTATATTGACCAATAACATGATATTCCATATTTTATTATAAAATTATCCGTTTTCTTTTCTTAGCCCCAACTTTCTTCCAATCAAAGAAGAACCTTCTCAACGAAAAGGCAAACAGGAAAAGGAAAAGTAAATAAACAAAGCAGAAGTCTTCACATGGGACAAGTTTCTAGAAGGGTGGGGTTTCGGAAAGAGCCTTATGCGAGTCGGCTGCTACTTGACTAGTAGTAGTGTAGAAAATTTGGTTTAGTATATTGTCCTTTAGCGTTGGGTGTCAGAGACCAAAACATGTGTATGACATGATATGTCGTATTGTATTTACACACAAATATATACTTATATATATATATATATATTGCAACTTTCTCTATATTTTTTACTTTTTAATCATTAAATTTATATTAAAATTTCTATATTTTATATATTTTTTAATATAATGTAATTTTAATTAAATTTAACGGTTGAAAAAAAAAACGAATATTCTTTAAAAGAAAATAACACTAAAAGAACTCCCATATATTAGTAGTGTATAAAGGGAAAAAAAAAAAAAAACTTATTAGTATTGTGTATCTTTAAACCATATGATTATATTGTTTATGTGGTGTTCTCTCCTTTTTGAGAATACCAGTTTTCTTTATTTTTTTCGGCCGTTAGATTTTATTAAAATCACAATAAATTAAAAAATTGTACATAATAGACAGAGATACATATATGATACACCGGAGAAAGTCCTTAAATTTATATATATATATATATATATTGAGATTTAATATGTAACGTCTTCCATACGATTCGATGGTTTAAAACTATATGTTATGAATAATGATAGATGTTTTTTAATTTTATTATAGTAAGAATTTTCCAAACAAATATCTATCAATATATATATATATATAGTTTTCATTGTTATTTAATATTTATTTATTAACGAATATCACTATTTTAGTTATAAGATATTAATTCGATAATTATAATAAATTAAATAATTAATTAAAAATTATGATAATTATGGAGATTAAAATTTTTATCAGTTCACATTATCAAATTTTTATATGTAATGAGTAACAATCATACAAAACTCCTATATATATATATATAACTACTATACACACATATATATTATGACATCGTTTATTTCATCGATTCGAGTTTTCAAGTTTAGCTTTCTATAGTAAAAGGTTCTCAGATGATGACATCTAACTTTTTCTGTTACAGTGAAAAGCTCTCAGAAAATATCACATCTCAATTCAAATTGAAAACTTAAATTCGCGAAGTGAACGAAACCTGTACCAATTAGTCAGGTTAAAAGTTTAAAAAATATTAAAGAAAAGGACCACTCAACCAGATCACATGGTCCCATGCACAAACGTAAGATGCTTTCATTCATTATTAAGCGGTGGTTGTCTACTTCAACACTACTTGGCCAATTTGGCGCAAGGATTCTAGAAGACCTTTCTCTTTCTAAACTCCTCAACTTCCTAATACTAGCCAAACTCTTTGGCGAAAATTCAAATGAATTTACTAGTTATCACAATTATTAACGAAGAAAAAGATTAATAAAACAAACAAACCAGCTATCACAATTATTTATTAACGAAAATTCACAAAGAAAAGGTTAAAAAAAGGAAACAATTAACAAAACTAGCTTTCACCATTATTAGCTAGCACTGAAAAAGATTGTATCTTTGTCGTATAGATAGATAACGTGTTGCCACGTGTCCTTAGTTTCTAGAAGCTTTGTTCTTAGTAATCTTTGGCTAAATTTGTGGCTGTTAGGTAATTGGCTGTATGGGAAAGGCTTTATTTATTTATGTTTTCTTTTCCATTGATTAGGAAGGACTTATAAACAGCAGTTGACTAATAGAACATCTTGGTATGACTGTTAGATTAAGTCCGTTAGATCTGCAAAAATTTGTATTAAACATTTATAACGTGATGCATAAAATTATTTTTTCTGTAAATCTGACCGTTGAAAAAGTAATCCAACAGTCAAAACAGAGTATTATACTTGTAGATTTTTTAAGAAATCTCACCGTAGAACAAGTCAAAAATATATATCAATAAACGACTACAAAAAATGAACTACTACCTCAAGAAAAATATGCTTATAGTTCACTATTTTTCAGCTATTAGATCTAAAAATAGAAATTGTCTGATCTGCACATTTTTTTAATATAATGATGGAGTAGTTTTTTCTCAGATCTAACGGTTAGAAATTGATACTATCAGCACAAAGACTTATCAGAAAAAGTCCTCATATTTTAGTTAAGTAGGATATATAGGTCTAGGGGCCACTTATAATATATATATATATATATATATATATATATAATTTTCTCTTTTTGTTTTATTATTTTTCTTCTCAAATGATTCATAATAGATTTTCGCCCTTTTTTTTCCGTCAATAGTAGAATCATTATGCAATGTTTTAAAAACTTCAAATATGTTGATCCGTCGTAGTATTGATATTTTGTTTTAACTAAATGCTTCGATAAAATAAATTTTCAGATCCGTCACTGGACATAAACATCTCGCAATAATATAATTTCATAAGAAATACTATATTAATTTCCATGAAATTATAATAAAAAATTATGAATTGTTAAATAACTTGTCTATCGTATGCCTTACGCGTTTATATCACTTGTCACTAGTACCTAAATATATGTATTATATGTTTATATATATATATATATATACGCACATATACATATACATATATATATATATATATATCACATTCCACCGGCCAATACTTATCTTAGATTCTTAGTGCTGGCTAGTTATGTTTCAAAGCTTAATTATTACCACATAACACGTAAAACGTGTCTAAGCTTATCCATTAATATTGACTCTTCTTATTTTGAATTTTAAGCACAAACCACTGTTTATTCAGTTAATCAGGATATTATGTAATTTCATGGAAAGAGAAGTTGTGATTC